GTTAACAGCGTAAACAAGGTGTTGCAAGTTCCAATCGGTTGGCTCTCATTCCCAGGTCATTGAGTGCCTTGACAAGTGGACAAAAAGTGCAGGATTTTCCGACGCCTTTGAACTTGCATGAGTAGACTGACCTGAGAGACGAGAGGAAGGAGGAATGGAAATTCGCAACTGGCTCTGCTGTGAAGAATAGCTCATGGCTATTTGGTCTGCCTGGCTGCCTGTTTGTGCAACCTTGGAGACGCTCAAATGAGTTGTTTCATTGCAGATCTTCCGAGTTCATTTCTTCCACTCCTCATCGCTAATTACGGGTCACGCCCTCTTCTCCATCTTTCTCCTCCTTGCTTCGTGTACACTGCACTTTCAGACCTCGTGCGGCAGGGGAAACGCGGACTTGTCATGCTCTGGTAAGGTTTTTGTGCATGTCTTTGGGGCGGAGTCAGTTGTGTAGGATTTGTAATGCTCAGACAGTAGTAGTAGGATGTGGTGGCACCAACATGATGACTGCATCGTGGGGATTTGGAAAAGGGACGAGTGTAGATCATGAGAAGTGTAGATGCATATCGTTTGAGTCAGCTGTGGATGGCACTTCAGGCGTTGTATTGAATCGCATTTAGGCGTTCACCATGGAGAGAGGTGAGGTCCCACTGGTAAGAGGAAAGGCTAATTGGAACAGGGGGTTCTGAATGCCTGTAATCTCGTTACGTCCGCACCACTTAATAGTCTTGATCTTACCTCCTAGTTGGCAACTCCACCTCTGCGCTTGTTTAATGGATGCTACCTTGTGGTCAGAAGTGACGATCGTGTGGTGGATGCATCGCACATCTCCTTGGGTGTGTTGATTTTTGTGGATTCACAGATGAGGGTGCGCAACAGAGGTGCAACTGAGAGGCTTTCGGTTATAATCTGCCGTTTGTTTACTGTGTCCTGAATAGTTGCGCTGCCAATGGGCCATTCGATCATAAGGCCTTTCATTTATGCTTCTGAAGTCTGCTCCGACATTTGTTCAGCAGGTGCAGGAGGACGTCGAAGTTTGACGAAGGAATGGAAGGCTACAAGACACTTCCTTGTGACTGTTGTCTTCCACTGTCTTGTAGCTCTCCTCCTCTCCCTCCTCACTTCGTGGGCCTCACGTGAGTTCCTCGTTTCTTTCCCCTGGTAACAACTGTATTTTGCTTCGACTTTGATGACAATTGTCTGGATGCACACCCGTTTCCTGCACTCGAAGTAAACTACTGTCTTGCTTTTGTGCAATCGGGATTAGCGAATCGTCGCTTTGGACACTTCTAGTTCCCACCTCTTCGTGGATAGAATTGGAACGTCGTGGCGACCTGGGGAGCACGTGGATGGGCTCTTCGCAGAGTTCATTGGTCTCCTTGATGCCCTATTGTCTTCTCAACTTTATTTATGCGCTTCTTGACCCTATCGTCCTATATTGCGTAGCTGACTGTCACATACCTCTCGCTATGGCGTGCCGAGGCCTGAGCCGACTTAGTGGGTTAGTTTGGGGAAGTATGTTTGCTTAATCATTGTAAGTAGATTAACTTTTATTGTGCCTTTGCTTGCAGATGGTGGAGGGGTTGGCAGCGCTGCAGGTCGTGCTGTGAGAGCAGAGCGTATGCAGCCTCATTCTACATAACGCTGGCCTGCATTTGCGTCAGTTTTATCTTCCACGATGGAGCCGCATTTTTGGTGATTGCGTTGGCATTGCTTGTGAATGTAGGCGAGCAAAGCGTAGTACCAGTTGTCGTTGGAGTCGCCATCACCATTACCATTTTTCCTTTCAGTGTGGGTCTGTGCTGACTAGGGTGGGGGTTAACGATGAGATGGAGTGGAGAGTGGCGTCAGTGGATGAGCGATCACACGTCCTCGTGGCCATACAGCTGCGCTTTGCTCTTCTACTCGTCTTCTGCAGTTTCCTTAGCGTGGAGCAGTGGTTTACATTCGCCTTCAGAGCCAAGCTTCTTTTTGCTGGGTTAGTTTATTTTGTGCACTGAATGTCCATCGTTTAGTGAAGTGTGTCGGTTGCACAGAACGTTGGTTGTGTGTGTGATAAGGTTGGAGGGCGTCTCTCACTTCAGTCGTGGAGTGAGGTCAGAGTTGAAGTCAGTCGTCAGTTGGAGGGGGACCTGTCAATGAATTGTCTCGTTTTCAATTGGCAGTTTGGGCTTGCAGGTATACGGGAAGTTTGCTCTAATTGCATTCATGCGTTACTCGGGTGCATTGTGAAGACAGGAAGAGATCACAATGTCATTACTGCAGATGGCTGGTGGTGATTGGATCTGGTTAGTTGGTATCTCGAATTAGAGGCTTGATTGTTTTGCTTTCTTGGTCACTGCAGCCATGGAGTGGATTGGATGCGCTTCTTCTCACCAAGTGTCTTTCAGTTCTTCCTCCTCCTCACCATGTCGTTGCTGCTTCGCTCGCTCCCGACAGCGGTGATATTAATCAAAGGTCATCGCTATCGACGCCTGCCATCACTGTTTCTGGGGTCGGCCCTGTTTGGCACACTGGTGGGTTGTCTGGTCTGTCTCGGTGGCTACCTGCACACCGCAGACAATCTACATACTTGTCTTGTCATCACCTTGGTCACTGCCTTTTTGCTCGGTGTGTGGTTATGGGTGGCCACAACGCCTGGTGGTGGGGCTGCGGCTGTGTCGCTTGGACAGGATCGGCTTCGTCTCGTGATTGCTCTGTTGCCATCGCGCTGTTTGAATGGATTCGCAATTGTTACTTTTGTACTTTTATTTTTTATCAAAAACTGTTTCAAATGTGTGTGACTGTTTTGGTGGGTGTGGTGTCCACTTTGCCCTGCATTGGCATTGAGGGTTATGGTGGCGCGGAGGAGGTTTTGCAGTTGGTGTTGTTATTACGAAATGTTGGGTTGCTAGAACGGATGGCACCTGTCGCCGTGTCTTGAGTATCGTCCTTGCTCCCTTCTTATTGGCGAGATCGGCACTCTGAGTGAGTGGTAGCGAGTAGGGTGTTGGAGGGAGGGTTGCACTGATGACTTGGTATGGTGGTTGTAATGGCGTCAATGGGTAAACTTGAGCTGGCAGAATGATTATTGTTGTCATTGAATGGAGTGAATGGAGGGGTGAGGAGGACAAGGACAGGAGGTAGACAGCATCGTGTAGATGCTGCATTTGAATAGGTAGTCGATTTGACTGCGATCACGAGGCTACGAACAAAACATAGAGAGTGGAGTAGCATCATGCAGCGACACTGTAGTCTTGAGTGGTGTGAGATCTGTAGTGGTAGAGAGTTTTGGTTATGGTAATCATTGTCAACCAACAGTGGCAGACACCCTTACTTCTTGACGCCTTTCCTGTGTGGTGTGCGCATGCAAAAGCGGCCGGTTCAGTTTGCGCTGTTAGGTGTGAAATGAGGTATTGCGGAGTTGCTACGTGCGCACGGACTTCGCGGAATGACCAGGAAATAGAGCCGCCCAAGATGAAAACCGGTTTGCCGCCATGCGCACCAGTACGGTCATCCCGCCACCAATCATCGCTTCTACGCGTGCTCCTTCACCACCCAATGAAGCAGGAGGGATGTGGGCCCACAAACAAGCGTCATTCGGGCATACGTGGGTGCGGTGATGCTGCTTACTTTGGCTGTGGGTCTCGTCTGCGTGGCTGGTCTCAACGCCGAAAAACTGAAGGAAGTGGAAGTGGAGATTCTCGGCGTACCTTGCAGGAAGTTTGTACAGAAGGGTGATTATGTGCACGTCTTCTACGTGAGCAGGCTGAACGAGAGTAAGAAGCAGTTTGATTCGAATGTGGGTGACGAACCTATTCGGATAACCGTGGGAGGTGGTCAGGTCATTGCCGGATAGGAGGAGGGTCTCGTTGGGTACGTTTGACTGAGTTTCTACTCCTATGATTGAATTGATTACT